CGAACGGGGGTGCTTTGGTGCAGGCGGGACCCCACCTCACCGCCACACCCCCGCACCTCCCACTGGCCATCTAGCCCTCCAAGGGCGGGCCAGTTGACCAGCGGAGGCGGACGGCCCACCATCCCCATCCTCGGGCACAGCAGCACTGCCCTACAACCCTCCAGGCCGCCGCGTACAGCAGCTCGAGGAAGCTCCCAGGCCGCCGCGTTCGCGCGCATCGAGGGCAGCTTGCCGGGCTTCGGCACCCCCTCTCTTCGGGGGTACTTGCCCCCCTCGATGCGGCTAAATTCTCTCGACCTTTGCGGGACATGCCCTCGCATTTCGCCGCAAGGTGGCGTCCGTCGACCGTGGCGTACCTGCCACAGGTGGTGCAGAAACTCATGAGATACCGCTCCCACCGCTGGACGGTATGGGAGGGGTGCACATCCCTGCCAGCCGCCAAGTCCCCGCCACTCGCCCCCACTCCCAGGGCAGGGAGGCCTCGGCACTGGGTCTTGGCGGCTTCGATGAGCCGAGTCACGGGCACAACAATATCACACTGACTGCACCTCCAGGAGCCCTTGGCTTGCTCGAAGCAGTGGCTGGAGGTCTGCAGCGCGAGCTGCCTCCTCGAAGGGGGGGCTCTTCGCTGCACAGAGGCCCGCGCTCCACTCCATGGGTCCGCCTCCGCAGCCAAGGCCAACGCGCGCCTTGCGCGCGCTCTAACTAGGGTGCCGATCGCATCCCAGTGGTCAGTCTGAGGCTCGCCCCCCGCCACCGACACCGCCCACCCTCTCCCAGCCGCCGCCCCCGCCTCCTCATCGGCCAGGGCGTTGCCCTGAATTAGGTAAGGATCGATAGGGTCGCTGAGAGAGGTGGCTTCGCCCATGTGGGAGGGGATCCATGTCAGGTTCACCTCCGACGACCGAGCCTGGAAAGCCACTCGAATTCTAGACCACAAATCTTGATTTGCGCCATTCTTATGGAACTGCCGACCTCTCCCCCATGCTTTCATGAGGGGCCCGTGGTCCGTCACGAACAGAAACCGCTCGGGGACACGCTCTAACGCGATGGCAAACGCGAGCAGCTCCGCCCGCGGGACCGTCTGACGCTGACCCCCTACAGGGGTCGAAAAGCCCCACGCCAGCCTCCAGCCCCCTTGGCCGTCAGGCTGCATGGCGATCACCGCAGTGCCACACCTACGTCAACGCGGGTCCGCACTGTGGCCCCCCCCCCCCCCCCCCGATCCGTCTCCGAAAACCACCACACCCCCAAAGTTGGGACGCGGCTCGACCTCAGAAATCGGGAGCGGCCCCAGGGACCGAAGGTTTTCTGCAGGAAAAACCGAGAGATGGGTGTAGCTCTTAGGCGGCACCCCTCGAAGCCACAGCACGGGGCAACTCTCCCACTGCACCTGGGCCTGCTGCCTGAGACACTCACTCTTCTCGAATTCCTCGAAACCAACATTGCACGGGCACCCCCACACCCGATGGAAAAGAGTCTCTGTGCCCTGCCGGCACCTTGGACACACTGTGGCTACATCATATCCTAGGGCCGCCTGTCTTTCTCGAGTGAACTGTCTACCTGACACAGCCGCAATCTGGAGGCCTCTGAGATCATAGGTTTCCTTTGCCAAAAACTTGGAACTTCGCGCCTCGCCAAGAGAACGTCCCCACCCCCAAGCTCCAACCCCTCACCCCCATAATGGGAAGCAGCCTGGGTCCAAAACTGGGACGCTAGATCCTGGACCGGGTCGTCAAGCAATTCGGGGAAAGCGGCACCCCCCTGCTCGAAACCAGCCTCGCTCGCGCACGGCACTCTCCAAACCTCGCTCCCGTTCGCAGTTGGACGGCGCCACGAGTCTGGGGAGGACGGGATCCACCCTGCCTCTTAAAGCGCGGCGACCACCGCGCTGACGGGCCCACGCACCCTATTCCAGCGCGTTTTAGCAGGCCAGAGCCGAGGGGTTAGATGCTTCCACGCCGCGCGTATGCGGTCGTGGAGCTCTGGCGAAGATTTCCAAACCAAACAAAACTCGAGGACCAACTGACGGCGCAACTCCAAACCTGGATCGTTGACCCCAAAGTGCATGGCGAGCACCGTAGTCAGACACCTACCCGAACCCGTTCCAGCGATAGCCTGGCCAGCCTGCCGCCTAAGGTTCCGAATCTGACTCGGGCTCACGCCGTGCACTTGGTGCCCGTACACCGCTTGGGGAAGGGCCCCCGTAGTCCAAAGAGACTGCGATATCTTCGGCAATTTAGCCGAACGCCTGAGCTTCCTGATACGACGGAATCTCTTGGTGGCCTTGACGAGCCTACTCTTAGCTCGCGTGAGAATCCTAGCTTTGCCGACCGTGGTGTCGCACCCTAAATCTACCGCTGACGTCTCGGCTACATGTGGGACCTTGGTTGCCTTCAACAACTGACTGACCCGAGCTCTGACGTGAGACGATGAGGCCAGGACAGTGGTCTTATCAGAAATAACAAGCCGAGCCTCTCGCATACCTTCAGTCAACACTCTCGCCGAGGCTGCCAAAGAGATCGTTACACTCTCTGCCGTGCCTTCGGCCCTCGAGACCGCATCGTCGATAAAGGACCACAACCTACAAACCTTGACCTGCCGATGGGTACGGTCCAAAATCGGAAACAGAAACAGTTTCGCGAGCGGCACACCCAGGCAGGATCCTGCGACGAGGGAGCGCGTTGGGTAGATAGCTCCACTAGCTCCTCCTTGACTCCTCAAAAACCTGGGCGCTAAATAGGCCTGAGACTCTAGCGCGACAATCAGAGCTGGAAACCCGACGTCTGACGCAATTTTGATTAGCATCACCAGGCTCAGCGAATCATAGAACTCTTCTATGTCTAACAGAAGTGTCGCTACCTGGGCTCCTGCTAGCACTGCTGTCTCGTCAAGCAAGCTGCGCAACAACGCGGCTCGCAATGCTGAGTTGCCTTTGATAGCAGTGTCCCAGAACTGGTCAAGGCCTGAGCTCCAAACCTCCACCAGCCCCGATCTCACTCGGCTCCAGAGCTTTATAACATTCGAGAGCATGCCGATCGTTCGGTCACCTCGCTGATTTGGTTTGGGCAAGAGAGCAGAAATCGGTGCAAGGATCTGTTCTGGCCACACTCCTTCACCTTCGACGAGATTTAAAAGGGCGGCCAACTCTTCAACCACCTGCTCTGGCAAGCGCTGCACATCAGCCACTCGGAGAACGTCTATCCCTGGGGCTTTCTTGGCGGGGGCCCGATACCAGAGAGAGGAGAGGTGGGAGGCCGAGGAGGAGGAAGAGGAGGAGGAGGGGGAGGAGGGGGAGGAGGAGGAGAAGGAGGAGGGGGAGGAGGAGAGAGGAGGAGGAGGAGGAGGAGGAGGAGGAGGAGGAGGAGGAGGAGGAGGAGGAGGAGGAGGAGGGGGAGGGGAGGAGGAGGAGGAGAGAGGGGAGGAGGAGGAGGAAGGAGGAGGAGGAGGAGGAGGATAGGGGAGGAGGAGGAGGAGGGGGAGGGGGAGGAGGGGGAGGGGGAGGGGGGGAGGGGAGGGATATGATGATGATGATGATGATGAGGAGGAGGAGGAGGAGGAGGAGGAGGGGGGGAGGAGGAGGGGAGGAGGAGGAGGAGGAGGAGGAGGAGGAGAGGAGGAGGAGGAGAAGGAGGCGGAGGAGGGGGAGGAGGGGGAGGAGGGGAGGAGGAGAGAGGAGGAGGAGGAGGAGGGGAGAGGAGGGGAAGGAGGAGGAGGAGAGGAGGAGGAGGAGGAGGAGGAGGGAGGAGGAGGAGGAGAAGGAGGAGGGGAGGGGGGAGGAGGAGGAGAGGAGGAGGAGGGAGGAGGAGGGGAGGAGGGAGGAGGGAGGGGAGGAGGAGGAGGAGGAGGAGGAGGAGGAGGGAGGAGGAGGAGGAGGAGGAGGAGGAGGAGGAGGAGGAGGAGGAGGAGGAGGAGGAGGAGGAGGAGGAGGAGGAGGAGGAGGAGGAGGAGGAGGAGAGAGGGGGAGGGCAAGCGACACGAGAAACTCAAGTCGATTCAAGTCTAGGGCCAACCAGCGTGAGGCTGGGCCTCCAGAGGCCCGCTGCGGGCCCAGAGAATACCCGAAAACCACACAGGGCCAACAATCGGTCAGGGAGGTGTGGGTCGAGAGCTCCGTGGCAGAAAGGATCAACAGCATCGTGTGTGTGTGCGCATTTCTCGGCATCTCTCGGCCCAGACGGTCTCGCGGCCAAAGCCGCAAACGATACCAAGTCGGAATTCGGGGAAGTGCGGCGGTCCGACCGGAGACGGTGCAGGTGGCGGGGCTGGCCTTCTCCGGCTCGATGGTCGGGTCCCGCTCGAACATCAGGCGCTTGAAGCCCGAAGCGGGACCCATGTCCTCTAAGCTGCTGACGCACTCCCTCAAGCGGAACAGGTTCTGCGGGCCGAGCTCTCGCAGGGAGCGCAGGGCTGCTGCGGGGAGCTACGAGGGGCGGGCGGGGATGTCGGCACAGGCGGAGAAGGCATGGAGGGGATTTCCTCCTCCTCCTCCTCCTCCTCCTCCTCCTCCTCCTCCTCCTCCTCCTCCTCCTCCTCCTTCCCCCTCCTGTTCCTCCTCCTAACTTACACGCGTCCCTCCCCCTTCCTTTTTTACCTGCTCATCCTGCTCCTTTTCGCGTTCATCTCGAAGAGAGAGGACAAACAAACAGACCGCTGTCATTGCCGCAAAAGCGACCTGAAGATGGGCGACAACCGAGCGCGAACACGTTGGCCCTTCTGACACGACTGGAGAAATCAACGCAGGCGCAGCCTCACCTGTTCGACTGGTCCAGACATGCCTGTACGTGCTCTTGCCACTCGACGCTGTACGCTGCGTAGGTCTACTGGCCCAACTGCTTAACAATTGCGGACATGACCCGACTTCCCATCTGGGGAATTCCCCTGTCGAGATACTACCGGCCTCAAGCGTGAATTGTATGAATGGTTCCACCATTCGGCATACATCCACCTCGCAGCTCATGTTTCTTGTATCTCGCTCTGCATACGCTGCCCACAGATGGGTTTCAAACAGCAAGTTTTGCTCAGAAGTGAAGGCCCCTCCCTTCACCGAGGTGCCAGCATCCTTGTCCTGCCTCATGTGGACGCCGATTGCCGTTGCATGGCTTTCTGTCGCGCGCAGCTGGCGAAACTGACAAATCCCATGTCTCCGACCACCACGACGTGCAGTGTCTAACAGTGGCATCACAGGGACGAAGACGCTGGGCATAAGCATCGAGGTTGAGTGGAAAGATGGGATTTCAGCGCGTGAACATGACCCCAAGTGGCCGCCATCCTCGCGTCAAACTTGACATCCGACATGCCACTCCGTGTCACCACGGCAGGCAACTTGTCGAATCACCCGTCACAAATTAAGCCTCTATGGCTTGACCGTGTGAAAAGATGCCTTGTCCCACAACGCACCACTTCCCAGATAAATGCCAACCGCACGTGTGCAGCTTCGTGTGCAGAACTTGTTTTCGGAGTTCGCGTATCTCTGCCAGTATGACGTAGATGTCCCTTGCTTATGTGTGGTTACATAGCTGAATCAGCTGTTAACATCGACCAAGTGAAACGATCATTCCAACATATGTTGCTGCCCATGGCTGTCCCGAGGCCATGCTTCTCGCAATCCCACCAACCCTCTGGGCGCAGGTGGTCAAACGATGTGTTCTTTCCTATTCGAAAAACCCGTCTTCACCTTCGGGGAGGGGTTATCACTGGTCCCGAGCATGCGCGGCCGCCCCGTGACCACTTTGGTATTGGTATGTTACAGAGACGGCTGGGGTGCCAGCAGATCCCACCTACATTCTGGGCGCATGTGGTCGACCGACTGGTTTGACACATCAGTGGCTGCTGCCTCTTCGCCTGACCGTTTCCGATGGGAGTTCGAACCTCCACACGGCTCCAAAGTTGGCCAAGAAAGCTCAAAGCCCGGCCCAAGAGCCCCTGTTGGTTCCCAGTGGCTGGAGCACCTGGCGCGGTGGGAGCACGTGGAACACTGAGCGCACGTGGAGCACGTGCCGCACCTGGCGCGCCTGGAATGATGGGGCCTCCAGGGTGTGGTGCATCTGAACCTGTGGCGTCTGCGGCGTCCTCAGACGATATGCTAACTCCCAGGTGTTACGTATGTGTTGGAAGGGCGGGTGGGAATGAGCAAGACGCCTGGACCTGGACTGGGGGGTTCGCGAGCGGTCAGGGCGTCCAAGATAGCCTGAGATGGCTCCAAGAGGGCCTCAGGGATCCCAAGATAGCCTCCAAGATCGCTCAAGACAGCCCAACATGGCTCAAGATATCTAACAACATGCCTCCAAGAGGCCCCAAGAGGGCCACTAGACGGTTCCAGGTTTTGTTGGCGACCCCTCAGGACCTCCCCGAGATGCCAAAATCATTCAAAAACATGTGGAAAGTCGCTGATGTTTGCCTTCTCGCCTTTTCGCTTCCGCTGCGCTTTTGAGGCCTCAAGATGGCCCTGAGATGGCCCAAGAGAGCTCCAAGAAGGGCCCAAGAGGCCCCCAAGATTGCCAAAGAGCGCCCAAAATCGGCCCAACAGGGCCCCAAGAGCGCCCCAAGAGGCTATTTCGATGGTCCAGGAGGGGGGGGGGGGGGGGGGGGAATCGAGGACCCCCTCTGCTTTGATCGATGGTCTCCAAGATGGCCCCAGGAGGCGCTCCATAGCTTCCAAGAGGGCCCCAAGCGAGCCCAAAGAGAGCCCCAGGAGGGCCCCATGAAGGCCCCAAGGCGCCCCAAAAGAGCCCCAAGAAAACCCCATGACCCCTCAACGAGCCCCAACAGGGCCCCAAGATGCCCCAAAAGAGCTCCAAGAGGACCCCAAAATCCCCCAATACAGCCCAGTAGCTCCAAGAAGGCCTCTGATGCTCCAAGATAGCCTCCAAGATGGCTCAACACCCTCCTTCCTCTCCTCTCCTCTCCTTGCACGGTCTGTTTCACTATATGTGTCTCTTCGTCCATTTTCCGTCAGCTCTCATGGGCAGGGCTTCTGAATGGCTGGTGGGGATTATTTTCCGTCGCAGCCGCAGGCGAAGGCGCCAGCGGCGTCACAAGTCAGCTCGGGCTACGAGCAAACCTAATTAACCTAGCGCGCGCACTAGCGGCTGCTGAACTGCTTGTGGGGATTCGCGAAGCGTAAACAATTTCCTATCAGCTTCGCCCGTACTGCGCTAGCGAAAGACATGGTACGAGACCACCCAGATCGCACACCACTCAGTATCCTGAGATACCTGCTGCGCATACCTTTGCCCAGCTGGAAAGGTTGCTTGCACATGCTCTGAATGGTTCGGGTGCCGGTGTCATTCAACTCCCACCGCCCGCACGCCCCGCCCACCTCCCCCCCACCCCTCCAGAAGAAATGCGCGATGCTGCCGACAGCTGTTTCCCCATCGATGGAAGCTGCTCACGCTGTCTCGCCCCGTATCACCCTTCTCTCGCCCAGCCTCCTGCGAAAACGCACTGAATATGTACATCATATCTGCTACTTTCTGAATCAAACTGTATCAAGGAAGTGCTGCTCCCCGATGGCCTTTTCGATGCGAAGGAGCAGCACGGTGCCGCAGTTGCTAAGCACCGGGATACTTGCGATAGGCTGGTAACTATTCAGTAGCGAAACATCCCAATCCATGAGCAAGACAACTATATGTTGGGCGTTCCGTAAGTCTGGTGTGTCAGATTCCAGTGGGTGAATCGAAGAACATGCGCCCAAAGACGATGACCAAGTTCCGCCCGCATCTTTCAGCATCTCTGCGACAATGTCGTCATCAGCTTCTTTCTTGTTACCCGTCATCTTCTGTGAGGCTGCAGAAACGTCGTCCTCTACCTGCTCTGGCGTAGCTGCATGGCCTCTGAAAGCGGTGCCCGACACAACTTCCCATAAAATGTTCCAAAAACTTGTGCAATTTGAGCCTGGTCTGTCTGAAGATGGCCGCCTGCATCCTGCAGCCCGCCAATATGCTGCCATGCCTTCGGGAAACCCTGGCCTCTCAACACGTTTTGCGTCATCCGTGCCTCGACCTATGAAGTGCGCGTGCCATCTGCCCCATCGCCCAGTTTGATGGAAAAACTTCCATCTGTATATGGTCTTCCTGGCCTGTCTTGCCGACCGCACTTCGGCTGCGCATGGCCAATCCTTCTCTCTGCGGCTATTTCCCCCGTGTCCGGAGCGCCCGTCACGAGCCACCTCTCCGTGAAGCGTCCACGTGGTGGAAGTATGATGTTGCTCCAGCCCGTCGCACACTGGGCGCTCGCACATGATAGCAGAAATACTTCGCAAAGTGGACGCCGCAAAGTGAAGGTGAGTTCTCAGAACTGACGTCCACAGGAAGATATAGAGATACATAGACAGAGACTCTGAGATGATTAGCGTGGAGACACAGAGGCATCGAAGCATGCTGTGAATCAGCACGAGGGACATAAGGAGGGAGGGAGGAGGGGAAAGAGAATGATAAGGAGCGAGAGAGGGAAAAAGAGAGAAAGAGAGAGAGCGAGAGCGAGCGAGAGAGAGAGAGAGAACGATTCGCGACAGACAAGCCTGCCCCAGCCCGCCGCGATCGGGCCTTGGGGGACGCCAGCACCATGGGCTTCCGGAAGTTACGGTGCTGCTGCCGGCGGAGTGCGTGGAAGTAGTTGGCGGGCGTGGAAATGTTCATGACCTGGGCGTCCGCTGGAACCCGTCTGGTCTCCTCTGGATCCCACCGACTGCAGAACACTGACAAGCATACAATCAGATGGCGGCCCAGGACAGCTGATGAACACGGCGCGGTCCTATCGCGAACAAGAGAGGACAGGCCGCGCAAACGAGAACACTGAAAACAGAAAGGACAGAAGAGGCAGTTAATCGTGTGGCCTTCTTGCTGTGACGTGCGCAATCGCGTCCGCGCTGACCAAATATGCACACAGACTGCAGCTATGTCAAGCACGAGTCGCGACGTAAGGTTGAGGTATACGCGCGGACAGGCGTGCTGCCCGCACCTGCTCGGCATCCCACAGTCAGCCAGCTGGGCGTGAGCGGTTTAGCGAGCTCGTTTTGCTAACCCGTTTCTTCCACCCCTCCCTCTGGGTCTGGACGGGGGGGTGGCGGGGGGGTGGAGAGTCCAAAATGTCCCAAGAGGGCCCCGGAGAGCCCAAAATGGCCTCCAAGATCGCTCAAGATAGCCCAAGATAATGGTCCAAGGTAGCCTCCAACATGAGTGCCTCCAAGAGCCCTCAAGACCGCCCCAGGATGGCTGAAAGTGCCCTCCGAACCTCCCGAAAGCGCCTCCAAAAAGCCCAAATCTTGGAAAACCACTGTGTTGTTCAATGTGGGTTACCTTCTCGCCTTTCCGCTTCCGATGGGCTCTTGAGGCCTGCGGATGGCTCCAAGGCGGCCCCAAAAGGGGCCAAATAGGGATCCAATTCGGCCCCAACAGCGCCAAACAAAGAGCGCCCCAAGAACGGCCCAAGAGGGCCTCAAAATGTGAATTGTCTGGCGGGAACTTACTTGATAACCCTCCTGTCTTTCACCGACGGCCTCCAGGATAGCCCCAAGAGGCCCCCAAGGCCCCCAAGGCCCAAGAGAGCCCCGAGAGGGCCACGAGAGGGCCCCAAGAGAACCCCGAAGGCTTCCAAAATGGCTCCTATATGACCCAAGTAAGCTGCCAACGGGCTCCCAAATCGAGGAATCTGCGAAGGCAACTATAATTGCCTCCTAGGCCTGCCCAGGCTGATCGCGATCTTCTGTTTGAAGGCTGCCCCCCTCTTTCTTCCACTGATTGCTGTCAAGCGTCCCTGATCAATGCGACTCGTCTGGGCATCGTTGCTGGATGGGCCGGTGGGGATATTTTTTTGGGGTCGGCGGCTCCAAGGCAAAGGTCAGGGAGCGGGATAAACGACTGGGGCGCAGGCGTAAATAATTGGCCGCAGTGGCGCGTAGGCCGCATAGGCGAGTGCACGTGCCAGGGACAAAATGACCCTCATTAGAGGTGACTGTCTCAGGCATCCCAGCAGGTGGGGACGCAGAGGCGCGGAGACCAGGCGGCACGGAGGGAGAAGTCGCCCTTGCGGCGCCAAGCTCCAGCCGAACCACAAGCGGGGGCAAGAGAGGGGGGAAGGAGCGAAGCGGGGCAGGGGGCAGGAGATGGGGAAGAAAGCGAGCGCGAGCGACGAACACAGACTCACAGCAATCCCGGGAGAACGAGGTGCGGCGGAAGAGGCCTGTCTCATGAAGGCTTACTGAAGCTAAAGGGCTGAACCGCGGCAGAGAGCCGTCCAGCCGAGAAAAACCACAGGTGTGCATTCGCGAGGCTGGGCCACCTCCAGCCAGTAGCCAATACGAGCACATCGTCCCCGACACACGCAGATCGGGGGCGCCACGATGCACGGTACTGACGAGGGCTGGTAGCCGGGGCTGCTGAGGAGAGCGACCACGAACTGCAGAAGGCTGCACCACCCAATGCAAGGCCGTTCACTTGCAGAGGTGTGGCTAGACCACGTCAGAGCGCCATCCAGTAGAGAAAGACCACTGGCGTGCGCGCACGAGGCTGGGCCACCTCCAGTCGGTAGCCAGTGCATGCGCATCGCATCCGACTCGCAGTTCGGGGGCACAACGATGCAAAGTACAGACGAGGGCTGGTAGCCGGGGCTGTTCAGAAGAGAGTGACCACGAACTGCAGAAGGCTGAACCACTCGACGCAGGGTCGCTCACTTGACGAAGCCAAACACCGAGACACCGAGTGTTTGGCTGACAGCTGCACCCAACCACACCTGCCACGCTGCCCGTGCAGTACTCTGGCGACGAACACTGGCCGCACGAGTCACCGCAGCCGTCGTCTCCGCACACGAGCCCCTGCGATACGCAGACTGAGCATGTCGGAGTCGGATTGGGCGTCGCCGTCGGCTCCGTCGTCGGCGCTGGCGTCGCAGTCGAAGCCGGATCAGGCGTCGCAGTCGGCTCCATCGTCGGCGCTGGCGTCGCAGTCGGAGTCGGATTAGGCGTCGCCGTCGGCTCCGTCGTCGGCGCTGGCGTCGCAGTCGGAGCCGGATCAGGCAGTCGGCTCTGCCGTCGGCGCTGGCGTCGCAGTCGGAGTCGGATCAGGCGTGGTCAACGGTTCCGTCGTCGGCGCTGGCGTCGCAGTCGGAGTCGGATCAGGCGTCGTCAACGGCTCCGTCGTCGGCGCTGGCGTCGCAGTCGGAGTCGGGTCAGGCGTCGCAGTCGGTTCCGTCGTCGGTGCTGGCGGCACATGCTTCCACTCGGCGCGGAGGAACATCTTGCGGCCACACTGCGCAGCGCCGCAGTAGGAGCCGAAGATAATTCCACGCCCCTCGTCGCAAATACCCTTTCCATGCGAGGTACACCCTCGTGCACCAGCTGCCGCGCTGCCCCTGCGGAAGACAGGTGTGTCCGGGGCTGGGTAGGCAGACCGTCGCTGGACGTCTGTCCACAAGTCGGTGTGCTGACCCGCTGGGTTGGTCGACGCGGTCCGCTCCCTGGTCACCATGTCCTCGCACGATGTTATCTCTGCCTTGATCGCAGGGGGCGCACCCAAGGGCCGCAGAGACTTGTGAATGAACGGGGGGGTGCATCCAGGTGCCGCTGGACACGGGTGCGGCGCCCTGGGCATCCAAGCACGGACAGACCCAGGTCGTGAGCACCTCACCGAACGTAACACACCTCGCAGGGGGGCGCAGCCAAAAACCGCAGAGAAATGTGAATGAAGGGCGAGAGGAGGAGGAGGAGGAGGAGGAGGAGGAGGAGGAGGAGGAGGAGGAGGAGGAGGAGGAGGAGGAGGAGGAGAGGAGGAGGAGGGAGCGCCGCCAGAGCCCAGGGCGCGGGGGGTGCGCCCGGTTGCCAGACTCGCAGAGGTTGGTGCAATCTTGGCGAACAGGACGGGGGGCGCAGCCAAGAGCCGCAGAGACTTGTGAATAAATCAGAAATCCTGTGGCAATCTATCGTTGCCAACAACATTCTTCGGCACCACACTCTGCATGGGGGCGCAGCCAAAAGCCGCAGTCACTGGTGAATCTTGATTAGAGATGGGGGCGCAGCCAAGGGCCGCTGAACTCGGATCCTGCAGTAGAGGAGGAGGAGGGAGAAGGGAGGCGCAGCCAAAAACCGCAGAAACATGTGAATTGGAGGAGGAGGGGGGAAGGGCGGCCCTCTGGAGCAGTGCTGCCTGCTCTGGGTCCTCTCTCTGCTCCCCCCTAGCGTCATTGTGAATGAGTCCGGCGGGGGGCGCAGCCAAGAGCCGCAGAAACATTGTGAATGACAAGGAAGAGGGGGCGCAGCGGGTGGCCGCTGAACTCTGTAGGCGATCCCGCTGACCGACGGAAACGGGATGCAATAGTACCAGAGCCACAGAGGGCGGACCCGGGACCAGCAGCGGCCCCCCAGGGAGCCCGGCGCCAGGATGCAAGCAACAGGAGAACCCGCGGGTCACGCCAACCTTCGCCCTGCAGTCGCAGAGTCCACAATGTGTTCGTCGTCGTCGCCCTCTTTAGGCGTCGTGGTCGTTTCCGTCGTCGTTGGAGCCGTGGTCGGCGTCGGCGTCGACGTCGTCGGAGTCGTCGTCGTCGTCGTCGTCGTCGTCGTCGTCGTCGTCGTCGTCGTCGTTGTCGGCGTAGTCGTCGAAGTCGTTGGAACTGCATGGTATGTTCCATGGAGCTGCGCGGCACGTCCGACAACAGCTCGTCAGAACCAAGAGGGAGAAAGAATGAGACCCTCAATCGCGCTGATGAGCACGGTGTACGACTCGTAGTCAACAGAGAAGGTGGATCTCAGGGTGGAAATCCAGACTGCCCACGGTATAGCCACACCCGCAGCACGCAGACAGAGGAGAATAAAACTGATGAGAAAAATACGGAGGTCGACGGTATAGCCACACACGCAGCACGTAGACAACAGCCAAGATGAAGAGGCAGGAGTTCTGAACGAAACAGAAGTCGAGACACGACGCAGGGTGCGCAGGGCAGCAACGGGCCTGAACCTCGTCGACGCGCCATGCAGTAGAAAGACCACCGGTGTGGGTTCGCGAGGCCGGGCCTGCAGCCAGTGACCGCCCTCCACGCACCAGATCCCCGCGCGTGCGATGCCACGAGGGGGGTAGCAAGGCCGCTGTGGGGAGACGGCACACTACTGTTTCTTGCGTTTCTTGGGGGCCTGGTTGCTCGGGTGGCCCTTTGCCGCGCGGTGATCACTGCCCCCACCTCCGCTCCGACCCAGGTGCAGCTACCACGGCCGAGCCCAGTCGACGTCGAGGCCCAGCGCGTCGCTGAGGACCCGTACGTCGCACTTGTGGCTGCGGAAGGATTCCAGGAAGAGGCGCCAGGTTTGCGGGTCGCGCCGAAGCGGGTCGAGCGCGCCCCTGCTGCCGGGCACAGACTGCCGCTTGGCGAAAGCGTGCCAGGCGCCAGTGAACATCGGCCCCAGTGTGACTCGGAGTCGTCGCATCGCCTCGCCGGGCGTCTCCCCGGGGAGGTCCCACTGGATGTTGTCGATTCCTGTTGTGTACAGTTGTTGTCCCGTGTCGGGGTCTTTGGCCTCTGGCCATTGACGCGGGTCGGGCCTCTGGCGCCGCCGTGTATCCTGGCCGCAAGTCTCCACCGCACGGGCCTCGTTGCCCTGGCTGAGGGGCTCGCGATCTGCTCGCGACAGCTCCAGCTGCACGCCTGGCAGGGCTTCGCGGGGAAAAGCAGGCCGCATGGTTGGCCGCCAGGCCGGGGTCGGATCGCGTCGGGCGGCCAGGGCAGACGCAGCCTTGTGGCACGTGGGGAGGGGCCCCTTTCGCTGACGTTCGCCCTCGGGCCTGTGCCCGCCGTCGCTCCCAGGTGCGCCCCCTTTGGACTGCGCGGGACTCTCTCCGGCCTCTGGGGCGCCGCTGATTGTGCTGGGCGCGTGCACGCTCGGCGGCGCAGCTTCGATAGCCGGGGCGCACGCTGCTTTGCCAGCGGCGCCCTGGACGCCTGACGAGGGCGTCTGGGGTTCGCCGCCCATAAGGAGCTCACTGACAGGGGACGGGGGGCGAATAGGCGCGAAGAGGTTTCTCTCGACGAGCCAGCGCATGGCTTCGCTGTCCTGCGTCTGGGCGGTTGCTCCGTGGTCTCCCTGCTGCGCGCGTGGCTCTCCCAGCGGGCCGCTGACGGACTGATTGTCCTGAGGGGATACTCCGCGGCTTCCGCAGCCTCCGCCGTCTCCGCCGTGACAGCCCACTCCTTTCCTCTGGCCTGATGGTACTGCTGGGGGGAGGGTCGTTAGTGTGAGCTGTACACTGGTCACTGTAGGCTACCTCCTCTCGATTCCCCACTGGGACATCATGGTCTGTCCACGATGCGGGGGGTGGCATCGTGACCTCTGCCTCAACCGCCTCTCGATTCCCCTCTGGGGCGTCATCATCTGTCGACGAAGCGGGGGGTGGCATGCTGCCGCTGCCGCTGCTGCTGCTGCTGCTGCTGCCGGCGCAAGACACCTTGCCCAGAGCGCTCGGGCCATTCGGAAGGCTCGCAAAGGCAGGCCCCTCGAGGGCGACACCTCCCGACCACCGGAAGAACTCTTGGGCAATGTACCGCATGGCGGCCCACATGGCGACGCGGCCGTGCTTGATCTCGGTGCACCTCCTCCTGTAGAAGACATCCGCATCGCCGTCCTTCGCAAGGCCGAGCGGGCCCCAGTAGCCGACGGGCGCCTGCACGCCCAGCTCGCTCTCGAAGGCGCGCAGCGGCGAATCCGCGTAGGTCGCCCAGTCGCCCCAGGCGGAGCCCGCGAGGTTGTCCTGGAAGAACACCCCGATGATGGCCATCATGGCCAGGCGGCCGTTGGCCAGCTCCGCGTTCAGGGACCGCTTCTTCTTCTCAGGGTCCTCGATGCCGTCCCCATTGAACACGCCGAGGGCCCCGAAGTACGACTTTCCGAAGCCCACCTCGGATCCGTTGAGCTTGCCCAGAGGGTCCGCGGGGTCCTGCTTGGCCGCGTAAAGCTCGAGGAAGCCGCAGAACAGGAACATCTGACCCCAGCCGGCACCAGACACCTTGCCCAGAGCGCTCAGGCCATTCGGAAGGCTCGCAAAGGCAGGCCCCTCGAGGGCGACACCTCCCGGCCACCGGAAGACGACGTATCCCGTGGCGGCCCACGTGGCGACGCGGCCGTGCTTGATCTCGGTGCACCTCCTCCTGTAGAAGACATCCGCATCGCCGTCCTTCGCAAGGCCGAACAGGTCCCAGTAGCCGACGGGCGCCTGCACGCCCCACTCGCTCTCGAAGGCGCGCAGCGGCGAATCCGTGTAGGTCGCCCAGTCGCCCCAGGCGGAGCCCGTGATCTCTGTGTACCTCCTCCTGTAGAAGACATCCGCGTCGCCGTCCTTCGCAAGGCCGAGCAGGTCCCAGTAGCCGACGGGCGCCTGCACGCCCAACTCGCCCTCGATGGCGCGCAGCGGAGAGCCAGCTGCGCCACGGCCAGCTGCCACTGCCAACGATTGCGGCGGCAGTGGCCCGCCCGAGGCGGCCGCGGCGGCGGTGGCGGCGGCGGCGGCCGCGGCGGGCGCATCGGCGGGCGCGGCGGCACCCGCGGCCGCGGCGGCCACCGCGGCGGCCGCCGCACCCGCGGCGGCCGCGGCCGCCGCAGCAGGCCCAAGCGCAGCAGCAGCGCGCCACAACGCCGGCGGCCGCAGCGGCCTCGCCGCGGCCGGCCGCCGCCACGGCCGCGGCGGCCGCGGCGGCGGCGGCGGCCGCGGCGGCGGCGCCGCCGGCCACGCCGAGGCCGACAGAGGCCACGCCGGGCCGCGGCGGCGGCAGGCCGGCCGGGCCGGCCGCGGCGGCGGCGCAGCAGGCGGCGGCGCGCCGCTGCCGCCGCCGCCGCGCCAAGCGCGACTCCATGGCCGAGCGAGGGGGGGCGCGGGGGGGGGCGACCCCCTCGCACGCCCCCGCGGGCGGGGAGGCCGAGGGCCGAGGGGCGGAGGCCCGGCCAGCCGCTGAGGCCCGCTTGAGCCAGAGCGGCTTGAGCCAAGGGCTTGAGCCAAGGGCTTGAGCCAGGGGGGCTACGGAGCTGGTGGGGGTACTTTCTTTACAGCCGCAGGCGGAAGCGCCGGCGGCGAGGGGTCACGGTCGGGCTGCGGCCGTGACGAATTACCCGGGCGCGCGCGGGAGGCCGCGGATCAGGCGGCGGGGCAAGCAGCAACCTAGGGCGTCTGAGAGGCCAGGCGGTCGTGCAAGCTGCAACCCAGGGAGTCTGAAGGGTCAGTCACCCAGGAATGCACATGCAGGAGTAAGATTATGCAGGGGATCCTTGACTCGCTGCTGTTCGAGAGCCGAACGATCCTGGGACGCGGTGGGGGTGGCTTAGATTGTCATGGGCATGCAAGAAAAACATGCTAGAACACATACATGCACGAAGGCGCCTTACCAGAGCATCCATGTGGCCTCAGAAAGTACCAAGAAAGGCCAAGAGTGTCCCAAGAGGCCGCCAAGACGGTCCAAGAGGGTCCCTAATCGCCAAACGATCGGTCCAAAACGCCTTCACGCCCTCCAGACTGCCCAGGAGGCCCCAGGACGCCCCAAGACGCCTCCAGCAGCACTCCCGAGAGGGCCCCAAGAGGCCAAATTCATTGATGTTTCGCACGTTGTTCTAATAGTTGGGCCTTCTCGCCTTTTCCACTTCCCGCCGCTCCAAAACGACTCCAGAGGCCCCCAAGATCTCCCTAAAACGGCCCAAGAGGCCTCCAAGAAGACCCCCAAACAGCCCAAGAAGACCCCAAGACAGCCCAAAACGCCTCCAAGACGGCCCCAGATGCCCCGAAGACGGCTCCAAGAGCGTGCCCAGACGGGAGACCCGAACGGACATTTCGAGTCCTCGGCCCCAAGAGGCTCCCAGCAGGCCAGGACCCAAGAGGCCCACAAGAGGTCCCCAGGAAGCCCGAAGAGGCCCCCAAGAGCTCCCAAGAGGCCCCCACGAGGCTCCCAAGAGGCCCAAAAATTCCTTCGTCGTCGTCGTCGTCCTTCAGGATCGGCGGCACCGGCCGTAAGGCCTTCGCAATACCCGAAGGCGCCTTACCAATCCACTGGTCTTTCTACCTCCTCGGATGGGCCTGGAAACAAGACCAAGAGCTGAAGATCAGGAGAAGACGGTTCCCACGGGGGGGACACCAGGGAAAAGGGCACGTAAGAAACGTCCAGGGCTTGAAACATCAAAAATACTGCCCCAGCCATCCGACGAAATTGTCAACGACTCTGGAGCCTCGAGCTGTCGGCCCCTTCTCCATGCACCAGGAGCGCTCAGGGGCAGGTCGTCTCCTCGATGGCCCTGGGGCCCCGGAGATGATGGGCCTGTTTTCCACCATCGCCACCATAAGTTGGGAAGGGGGAAGGAGGTGGAGGATGCGGAGGATGAGGAGGATGAGGAGGAGGAGCAGGAGGACCTCCTCCCCCTTCCAACTTATGGTGGTGGTGGAAAACAGGCCCATCAGGAGAGGCCCCGTGAGGCCGAAATTGATGAAAGAACAAGCCGAGGCTGTGCTTCCGTCGCGCCTCCCGGGCGCGTGGGAGTCCC